GACCCGGAATATTTTGAATATAAAATATATTTTGGACAAAGATACCATAGTTACCTTAGAGAAAATTTTATCTAAAATTGTAAGTTTAAAAGCAAAATATATGATGTTTATATTCAAAATGATCACCAAATTATAAGAATTCCAGCAATGTAAATTATATTCTGGCCTGGTAATTTGTATGAATTTTATGAGCTAAAACAGGCAGTGAAGAGGGTGGATGGGGGCAAATCTAAAATAGTTCGGACACTCACCGCGATGCGTGAAAACCCACGTTAAGTGAAAGTTCGCTATAAGGCACTGCCACAGCGCGCAAAAAGCTCGGCGTAGCGCCCCGGGTAAAACAATAGCAGGCGGCGGCGCGGCGGCGGCGGCGGCGGCGGCGGCGGCGGCGGCGGCGGCGGCGGCGGCGGCGCGGCGGCGGCGGCGGCGGCGGCAGCAGCAGGCGGCGGCGGCGGCGCGGCGGCGGCGGCGCGCGGCGGCGGCGGCGGCAGGCGGCGGCGCATATATGGCGGGCGTTAGTGAGTACCCCACTTAACGCCGGCCAACGAACCCAGAGGGTCCCGCTGGCGAAAACCGCGTTATGAATAACAGAACATAGGATTAATTCCAATAGAACCCAGCCCGACCCCAACCCCACTTTTGACGACAATAACTATGTTGTAGTAAAAATAACATCTTAATTTTATGATGGTACATGCACACAATTAATACTTAAGAGAAATAGAAATACAGTCAAGTTAATGTCCATTCAAATAATGGACTCAACTCCCCCTCTCACACTACAGCACACAGCTAACAGATGGTCGGTCGGTCCCTCCCTCCCCACCCCCACCAACCGTCCCAGAGATGTGTGGGATAACCTCAAACTAAAGTTAGAAAATATAATGATATTGTTGACCCTTGTAAGACCAGGAATATTTGAATATAAATGTCATATTTTTTCACAAAAGATAACATACTTACTCAGATTAAACATTTTATCTAAAAATTGTATGTTTAATAAAAAATATGTTGTTTATATTCAAAATGATCACCAAATTATAAGAATTCCACAATGTAAATTATATTCTGGCGGATAATTGTATGAATTTTATGAGCTAAAAACAAATATCTACAGTTAATAAAAAAAAAATATATTCTTCAACACTATCTGTCAATCAAAATTCCCCACCTGTTTTCTTCCAACTGCAAGCGGTCAGTCCCAACCTCCCCACCACCACAATCCTCCATTCAAGAGTTTTAACATTTAGTATTAAATAATAACCTCAGATTAAAGTTAGATAATATAATTGACATTGTTGATTCCTTTGTAAGACCAGGAATATTTGAATATAAATGTCATATATTTGGACAAAAGATAACATACTTACTCAGATTAAACATTTTATCTAAAAATTGTATGTTTAATGCAAAAATATGTTGTTTATATTCAAAATGATCACCAAATTATAAGAATTCCAGCAATGTAAACTATATTCTGGCTGGGTAATTTGTATGAATTTTATGGCTAAAACAGGCAAGGGAGTGGCCCAAATTGAGTGATTATCTCTTGGCGTTAAGTGAAATGATTAAATATATATATGTATATATATATATATATATATATATATATATATATATATATATATATATATATATATATATATATATATATATATATATATATATATATATATATATATATATATATATATATATATATATATATATATATATATATATATATATATATATATATATATATATATATAAGTAAATCACTGTAGTGGCGTGATCTGTATATTATAACCGGAAAAGAAACACGAAGTTCAGCTTTCGTGTAATTCACATCTTCAGGGGTGAGTGGTACTCACCCTGAAGATGTGAATACTGTTTCTTTTATATATATATATATATATATATATATATATATATATATATATATATATATATATATATATATATATATATATATATACATACATACATACATACATACATACATACACATACATACATACATACATACATACATATAGTCAACCCTCACTTTACGCGGTTAATGTAACCCACAGGTGCACGGGAAAGTGAAGCAGTAAAGTGAATAACATAACATATGGGATTAAATGAAATAGAGACCAGCTGACCCCAAACTCACTTTTTCCGACACAATACCTATGTTCTATTAAAAATAACATCTTAATTTTTATGATGGTACATGCACACAATTAATACTTTAGAAATACAGTAAGCCAAGTTAATGTCCATTCAAATAATGGACTCAACTCCCTCCCCTCTTCTCACAGTACACTTCGCTGGTTCTTCCATCTGAGAAATTTTGGGGAAAACCAGGTATAGTAATAAATAATTCTCAAACTAAAGTTAGGATAATATAATTGACATTGCTGGATTCCTTGTAAGACCAGAAATATTTTGAATATAAATGTCATATATTTTCACAAAAGATAACATATTTACTCGAGTAAACATTACATCTAAAATTTGTATGTCTAATGCAAAATCTATGATGTTTATATTCAAAATGATCATCATATTGTAAGAATTCCAGCAATGTAAATTATATTCTGGCCGGGTAATTTGTATGAATTTTATAGGCTAAATAAAAAAAAAATAAAAAATTATACTTCACCGCGTATATGAGTAGATGCACCGCTGAAAGTGAAAGTCCGGTTCTGGCAAGGTACCGCGTAAATGAGAAATTGCGGAAAGTGAAACCGTGTAAAGCGGGGTAATACTGAAAAAAAAATTTATTAAATTTTTTCACTCAGAGTATGAGAGACGACCTAGTGAAAGTGAATCTCAATCTCATGAGAGTTGGCTAGATTTTTGCTTTCATAAAGGCTGTCCTAATAAGTGACTATGAGGTTCGACTTGACCACCAGAAATCATTGACAGAGGAACACCGTGCCAGCAGACTTTTCTTGGTTTGTCGTCATTAGGCACTGGACTTATGGACTTGGTTTCACTGACGTAAATTCTTCACTTTAGTATCCTGCCCACCCACCTTCTTTGTTGATAACGGCATTACACCTACACGTCATTAGCAACTACTTGTCAGTATCTTTAGTAGTACCCTACCACTAGAATCGCCATATTATAACGATAAGTGTAAAGAGGTCATTTTGGTTTATCCAGTGCGAGGCCAGGTCGAAACGTGGCTTACAACAGTATATGGTTTCATTATTTTCTATTAATGCTTTTAGGAAATATAATGTGCATGTAAGAGCAGTTGAATCACCTAAAAATGTTTATCGGCTTAAAGTAAAAGTCGGATTTGGAAAATAATTAATAACCAAGAAATTGGTCAACATAAATCATTGACTGGCACCTGTTTTCCCATACTGTCCTTACCCGAGGAAGGGCAGCAGTAAAGGGAGGTAAAGGTTAAGCTTCTTGGCTTTGGAGCCTTAGATTAGAGATAGCCAATTACACCCCAATAAATCAAACAACGTAATGCTACTGTAAATATGTATCCCTATGCCATAATCACCTCTTCCACTTCCATCACTCTTTGTGTGCAAATAATATATGATTATATATTAGTAATATACTCCCCATCTTTCCCTCCATACACAAAAAGACACACACACGCTATCATAATTTACTTACTTACTTACTTACTTAGTGGCTCGAGAAAAATAATCATTATCACAATTTTTTTTTATTTAATTTATGTACCCTTTCATTTATTTGTGTATCATTATATTTAAGTACAAGTGTATCATTCTGAATCATAATCCGAGAATGAATCATAATCCTGCCTCCACACTACCTACTGAAAATCACTTCTGGTAATTTTCACAAATGCTCACACTACTTGGTCCCAAAGTATTTGGGTTTTTACCCTTGAGTGTACAGCTGCTCCACATGTAACTGATCATGTTAAGAATTTCTAGGATACTGTACATAGTTACAACTCATGGAGAGGAACTAAGAATTGAAAACTTTTTATGTTCCTGTCCATCCACGATAACATGAACAAATAGTAAAATATTTTGACTAAACTTTGTCTGTTGTGTAATGTATATTACAACAAGCTCTCAAGTAAGTTTGAGGATCAGTAAATACTGTACTGTACTGCCATTATTGCCTATACAGAGTACAGTACAGCAGGGGTTGATCTGGGGGGGGGATCCAAACTCTCCCTTTTCATCAGAAAATAACAAATACTTTTTCTTTAATACAATATCTCCGTTAACCAGAACAATTGGTGTAGAGCACCGAATGAGACGACTTTCTCAAAGCCGGGAAGAAATCCCTCATCCCCGGAATTTTCCTAATTTCGAGAAATGGAAAATATTTTCGGAATTTTCCAGCTGGAAAATCCTCTCAAATTTTCCAGAAAATTCAGGCTTTGAGAACGATTTTACAAATAAATTTTAATTCTGGCTATCAAAGAGTTCTGGATTTTAGGGATTACTAACAGAGATATTACTACTGTACTCAGACATTTTGTATAAAAGTAATTACTATTGATGAATATCTCCTAATATCAAGTGCACATGGCTTCAAAATTGCCTCAAAATGCCCATAATATTGGTCAGATTTAAAAAAAAAATCTGAGGGCCACAGCCCTCCTCCCCCCCCTCCCCCTAAATACCCCAAGCCATGTTCTCTCACCCACAACTTATTGGACCACCCCTTTTGATATCCTGGATCTGTGCCTGACAGTACAGTACTGGCACCTTGTATTGTGGTGGAGGAATAATTCACCTTTATGGCTTGCTTGTTATGTCCTGGTTAAATCATCACCTAATGTGAAATTTTCATTTCTAATGAAGTTTCTATTTCTGATTTATTATTTTTATTATTTTCATCCTTAACATAGTCGACATAATTACTACATTTTATCAGTGTTGACATTGTATTTGCCATTAGTAATTCTTATAGCTGACTGGGTTTGTACAGTATGTACAGAATCTCATAAATTTAAATGGTATAATATTTTGTACTAAATGGTTTCATGAAATCCATTATCAGGTAAAGTGCAAGAAATCGAGGTGGTGAACGCATCATATATCAGTATCACTACACCAATTGGCCTGACCACGGAACCCCAGGACATCCTCTGCCAGTCTTGTCATTTGTACGCAAGTCTGCTGCAGCCAACCCAGAAGATGCAGGTCCTATAATAGTCCATTGCAGGTTTGTGTCAAAGAGTAACATATAGTATTCACCAAATTTTAGTTGTATTATATATTTGAGGAGAAACCCAAGTAGGACAAGCGTTGGTTTACCCAGAAAACAATACCCATGATGTCTCTCACTTGTATCAATTAAATCTGCACCAATGATGTTACAATCTTCCCACTTGAATCACTTCAATATCTTCACTGGCTCCAAAGTTATGGTAATTTCATGGTTTACAAATTTTAGCACTGTATATGTGCATCTCTTATATACTGTACTGTACATAGTAAATTACCCTTCTGAAAGTTAGTAAATAACATTATATACACAGTGAAACTTCTCTAATTCACGCTGTAATGTTTTAATTATTTTCTCTAACAGTAGTGGAGAGGAAACACTGCGATTTGAAAAGCAAAACTTTTTGCTCAATAGTTCCCTTAAGTTACAAAGATTCACATCTGATTTTTGTCTCTAAATTATTATCAGTGTAAAGAAATTACTGTAAATTGTTGTATAGAATGTATGTTGTGCAGTAACTTTGTTGAAAGGGCTCACAGAGGTTTATATTAGATATCTCCGTAAATTGGTTATCCTCGTATTGAAATTATGCTAAATTACAAAGATTTCCCAGTCCAGTGGTGCAGTACTTCAACTGTAACTGTACACGTATACAGGCAGTACAGTACAGTGCAGTTCAGCACTGCACCACATTGTAACAGTACAACTGTACTGTACAGTACTGCATCGCACTGCAATTGCACTGTACTGCACTGTACTGTACCGCACTGCACGTATCTACTGTACAGTACTGCATTGTATCAGACTGTACTGCACTGCACTGCACTGTACTGTACTGTACTGTAGTGTACTGTACTGCACTGTATACAGTAATGTACCGCACTGTATCACTGTACTGTAGTGCACTGTACTGTACTGTAGTGCACTGCACTGTATTGTATCCATACTGTACTGTACTGTACTGTACTTGTACTGTACATGTAGTGCACTGCACTGTACTGTACTGTACTGTACTGTACTGCACTGTGCTGCACTGCACTGCACTGTACTGTAGTGCACTGCACTGTACTGTGCTGCACTGCACTGCACTGTACTGTGCTGCACTGTACTGTACTGTACTGCACTGCACTGTACTGTACTGTACTGTACCGTACTGCACTGTACTGTACTGCACTGTACTGTACTGTACCGTAGTGCACTGCATTGCACTGTACTGTACTGCACTGACTGTACCGTAGCACTGCACTGTACTGTACTGTACTGCACTGCACTACTGTACTGTACTGTACTGCACTATACTGTACCGTACTGTACTGCACTGTACCGCACCGCACCGCACTGCACTGTACTATACTGTACTGTACTGCACTGCACTGTACTGCACCGCACTGTACCGTACTGCACTGCACTGCACCAGCCACTGCACCGCACTGCACTGTACTGCACTCCGTTCGCACCGTACTGCATCACTGCACTGTACTGCACTGCACTGTACCGGTACTGTACTGCACTGTACCGCACCGTACTGCACTGCACCGTACCGTACCGCACTGCACCGTACTGTACTGTACTGCACCGCACTGTACTGTACGTACTGTACTGTACTGTACTGTACCGCACTGTACTGCACCGCACCTGTACCGTACTGCACTGCACTGTACCGTACCGCACTGCACTGTACCGCACTGCACTGCACTGCACTGTACCGTACTGTACTGCACCGCACTGTACTGCACTGTACTGCACTGCACTGTACCGCACTGCACTGCACCGCACCCACCCCACTGCACTGTACTGTACTGCACTGCACGTACTGCACTGCACTGCACTGCACTGTACCACACCAGTACTGCACTGCACTGCACTGCACTGTACTGTACTGTACTGAACTGAACTGAACTGAACTGAACTGAACTGAACTGAACAGTATGAGGATGTTTATGGCTAAGTTTGACTTTAAACTCATTGTCTTTACACCACTGCTTGAAGTTGTGGTGTATTGAGCACATTGACTATATAAGAATACACCGGCTGTAACAATTCGATAAATTGTTTCAGGGCGTGAACAATGTGAGTCACGAAAGAATGTTTTCATCAGTGCTGGAGTTGGGAGGACAGGCACATATATTGTGCTAGACGCTATGCTGCAGCAGATTCGTGCAAAAGGTCGTCTAAACATCTGGGGTTTCCTCAAACACATCCGCACTCAGCGGAATTTTCTCGTGCAGGTTGGTAAAAATTTTATTTCTAAACAGTACTTGTGTATGATCATTAAAGTAACATGGTGTGTTATGTATGACCATTATGTTATTAAACTTATAGGCAAACCTTTTTGTTTTATGTATATATATCAAAGTGCCAAATATGTCTCTTGTGTCTCCTCCACTCTTACATTTTCAGTTTGTCGTTACCAGTCCTCCCAGTTTTTGTATGTCTCTGGCCACCTAACATTTCATTTTGTCCCTCCCATTTTCTGCCTCCCCCTGGCCCTCCTACCCTGAAATATACCCAATAATATTTCACTGTGTCCCTCATCCCTAAATATGTAAAGTAAACCCCATTCAGCATACAACATGGGGCTCTGGCCTTGTCGAGTTATCCCAAATTCCAACTTATCAAGGCACTTTTTCCTCCACAAAAATACAACAATAAAAAATTATTGGCCAATATTTACATGTAATTACTAAATGAAAGTAACTTACCAGCACTGCAGATGAAGAATGAATCATCATAGCAGGTGACACAGATGTGGTGACACAGAGGACAGAGGCATGGGAGGGACACAGGTATGGTAGGTGACACAGAGGTGTATGGTAGGGACACAGAGGCATGGTAGGTGACACTGAGGTATGGTAGGTGACACAGAAAGGTGTATGAGGCAGTAGATATGCAGAGATTTTCATAGATAATTTTATTTATCTCGGCATTTCCCGAGTTATACTAATACATTCCGAGACCATATCCATGCCGAGTTATATGAAATTCTGAGTTATCAAATGCCGAGTTATCGAGGGGTTACTGCATGACCAGATATTCTCAATTTCCTTATTCTTTAAACTTACAGTATTTCTCTTGTTGTTTTTGGTCTTTTCTGTGTATACTTCATTTTCTTCAATATAACTTATTTCAGTGTTCTCCTGCAGCACCACATTTTAAAGAGGCTTCTAATCTCCTTCTAGTGTCTACTGAAAGTGTTTACACTTCTGACCCATACTGAGTACAGTATTTACAACCAATTTAACTACAGTATATAAATTAGTGGAAAACTTGCTGGGTGGTTTGGGCACTATATAAAGTATAGATAATGAAAGACCTTTTAATTAATAAAGAACAATATCTTATTCAAGCTTTGTTCATTAATTTATTTTGTTACTTGTCAGTGACAGACACTATTGCACATCCCCACAATGTTTTTGGGGGCTGGCAAAGTTTTCCAAGAATTTAAACAGTGCATCTCGCACTGACAAATACTCTCCCATTACAATTAGGTAGCGGTCACGAGTGAAATTATTTTTGGCTAGCGAAAAAAATTTAGAAGCTTTTATTCACAGCATCTATTCTAATTATGTTTGAGAGATGAATTTAGTACCACAATAACCATGAATAAATTTGATGGGACTCAATTTTTTAATGAAAAGACCGAAGAAATATTTATACCGGAGTATAAAATCAGTTCTAATTAGGGTAACTTAGAAACACCATAAAATATATATACTGTACAGTAGAAGTCCAAAAATCCGGACTGCTTGGGGATTGGGTCGGTCCGGATTTTCGGATTTTCCGGATTCTCAGGCAGTACTTTTAAATCCAAATTTAAGGAAGAATAAAGAAGAGATGAACAGGTACATTTTGATAGTTTATTCATTAGCAAATATAGCATGCTTCATTTATCAAAACGAGCAGTTTTAATGAAAAAGCTGTGAATTCTAGAATTTTATTTCTTACCTTTTTTATATCATAAATTGTAGACTTTCCAATGTCGGATGTTTCCAGTAGAACAGTATTGCTCACACCACGCTTCTAGTTTCAATTATTTAGTTTGTCACTTCAACTTGTTCTTCTTCTCTTCACACAATGAAGTTTATCTACTTTAGGAGCCATTACATGGGCTTGTACAGTACTGTTAAAAAAGAGTAGAACTCAAAATTACATACGCCGTCACAGTTTGACTGCTCATTTTAAAGTGGCGACCTCAGTGGTCGCTTGTTGCCTGTGCAGCTGTGGCGCCACGCATGCGCACGCACACACAAAAAGCCAGCAATTTTAAAAAAAGAAAAAGATTGAGTTTTCAAAAGTCCGATTTCGGGTGGTCCGGATTTCTGCATCCGGATTTTTTGGACTTTACAGGAAAAGGGAAACACTGGAGCACCTTAGCTTTTGTCTTTATTCAAGACATCTTCAGAGGCAACTGAATTTACATGGACTGAGAGAGGCTTATATACAAAGGGTGACCTTACATAACATCAGGTCAGGTCAATAACATGGGATCCACTAATCCACATACCACCACCACCACCAAACACGAAGAAGAGCTTATAAAAATGAGCGATCCAACAAGTAAGGTCAAGTTAGGTAAAAAACTTGAGACCCACTAATCATCTATCCTACATCTACCTTAAGTGCTTTCAAAGCATTTTTAACCTTGGGCCACTGACAAATAAATTTATGTAACATATTATCAGTTTTGTACTGACCATCACTAAGGTTTATAGAATTCATTTCCCTAATCAGACTTGCTTCAACAAGAAGTCTTTCTGTGACACATGATGATTTAAACACATCTTTTCTGTTTTCCCAATCCATGAGATGATTATTGTTGCTTATATGAACGAAAAGTGCACTGCTTTCAGATGCTGTTCTAATATTATACTTGTGTTGTTTTATTCTGAGTTGTAATGCTTTCCCAGTCTGACCTACATAATTTCCATTACAATAATTGCTACATGGAATACAGTAAACACTTCCATTTACATTCAAGGTTGGGCTGTTCTTAATTAACATACTAGTAATAGTTGAGTCATACTTAAGAGCAACATTAATGTTTAGTAATTTAAGAGGTTGAACTAACAGGACAAATTAATTGCAATAAGGTAGAGTCAAAATATTCTTAAATGTAGGAACTTGTTTAGAATGAGTACAATAAAGGGATTTTTTGCCCTTTTAAAACAACGATCAACAAACAATGAATGGGAGCAAGTTTTTGTGCAATGAGCTGAATGTGTTGCAGTTCTTCAACAAATTCAGTCACAAATTTGCAAACATCTCAAAAGCATAGCAGAAAAAATCTGACATTTTGGTACACTCAAGGTGACTCAATAAAAAATGTATGAAACTATCTACCTGTGTAGGCTTTCTGTACACCTTAAATTTATAATTGTGACCATTTCTCATGACAAGCATATCAAGAAATGGAAGGGATCCATTTTTTTCTTTTTCAATTTTGAAGATAATGCTAGGGACAAGATCTTTAAACTTGTCCAAAGATTCCAGTGGGTCACTGTTTCTAGGCCAAAGACAAAGAACATCATCTACATATCTGTACCATGGAGGAATAAAGTCCACTATATTGGGTAGTAATCTAGCTTCAAAAAACTCCATGTAAATACAGGCCAAAGGAGCAGAAAGACAATTATCTATGCTCATACCAAATATTTGTTTGTAAAACTTTCCATTTGCTCTAAAAACAATGTCAGTAATGCATAACTCTATCAATATGAGAAATATGTCATGTTTCTTAGTCAAATCTAACAGATGCAATTTATCTTTAAGGAATGAAAGAAGGTCATTCACTGGTACTCTCGTGAAAAGTGAATTTACATCAAAACTTATTAACTCACATGGTTCATTGTGTTTCTTGAGTTTATCAATTAAATCACTGCTGTTATGTATATATGAATTAGACATCTGGCCTGTAAGAGGGGATAACAAATTAACCAACCACTTGGATAATTTGTAAGTAACAGAAATTCCACGATAGGATGTAATGGATTATTAAGCTTATGTGTTTTGATCACTCCATACATATAAGGTAAAGTGGGATTGATTTGTGAGAACTGTTTAATGAGATCTGGGTTCTTTTTAAATAATTCCTTCATTTTAGAATTAGGTAACGTATTAAAATTTTCCAGGGAATCTTTTCTAAGCTCACAATACAGTAAGTGATTTCATCACTTAGTATGGAATTCATCTTATCATTATAATCGTTTTTATCCAAAATTACAATAGCATTGGACTTATCTTTTACTTTTACTTTTATCCTCTTCGCCACTGATCGGCTTGTTAGCCGCTTGGGCGATCGGTCACGTCTCTTTTCATTTATATTCTTCACCAAAAGATGGCTTCCGCTAGCCGCCCGGGCGATCGGTCACGTCTCTGTCACGCACTGTTGGCAAATACTGGGCATGCACCGGCTCCTGAATGCCTGAACCTGCTCCAGTGTTGGCCAAGTCTTTTCTTGAAAGAGCTCACACTCGGTGCCGTCACAACACTCTCTGGTAGATTGTTCCAGAGTTTACAACCCTCACTCCGAAAAAGTTTGCCTCACGGTTTCTGGACTTCGGCTTCTTCAATCTTGAGCTGTGACCCCTTGTGGGGAGGCGGCGTCCGCCAGCTCAAGTAAGGACACTCAACTGAGTAGTGCCCCTGAGATGCTTATACACTCAACTAGGTCCCCCTTGCCCGTCTGTAGTATAAGCTAGGCAAGCTCAGGCGCCCAATCTCTCAGGGTAGCTGAGGTGCCAAAGTGCAGGCACCAGTCTGGTGGCCCTCCTTTGAACATTTTCAACCAACTGACAGTCCCTAGCATATCTCGGGGACCAGATGGGGTGACAGTACTCCAGATGGGAAGCACTTCACTCCTGAAGATCGTTGAGGGCGGACGTCCTAGATATCTGAACGACCTTCTTATAAGACCCAATAATTTATTTGCCTGATTTACCTTCTTCTCACAATGGCCTGAGAACTTCAGCTCATTGTCCATACACACCTAGGTCCTTCTCAAACACAGTCTCAACTAGTACATTTTCTTCATCCCGTTGGGACATATGATACGCCTCCTTACCGTTGGTACGCCCTAGGTGCATCCTCTTACACTTCGTGACATTGAATCTCAGCAGCCATTCCTTCGACCATTCCTGGAGCCCACAGAGGTCCTTCTGCAGCTCTTCACAGTCCGCTTGGTTCTTAATTTCCCGAAATAACTTGCCATCATCGGCAAACATTTGTATGGAGGAGTGTACAACGTCAGGCATGTCATTTATGAAACAAACAAACAACAGCGGGCCCAATACACTGCCCTGTGGTACCCCACTTGTTACAGGTACAGATGACGATTTCGTGTCATTAATCACCACACACTGCTTGCGGTCATGTAGAAAGTCTTCTATCCACGCTAGGACATTTCCCCGAATTCCGTACCCTTCCAGTTTGATTTTCAGCCTTTCGTGGGGTACACTGTCGAAAGCCTTGGCAAAATCTAGGTAAATATTGTCGATATTACCACCCCGTTCCAGAATATGGGTCCAAATATCCAATACCTTGAGCAATTGTGTTAAGCAAGAGCGCCCCGGCATAAAACCGTGTTGGCAATCTTTTACAAGGTTGTTTCGTAGTAGATGTTCCATCGCGGCATCTCTGATAATACTCTCAAGTACTTTACATATTATGCTGGTCAGGCTCACCGATCTATAGTTGTTCGTGGAGTGACTATCACCCTTCTTGAAGATAGGACTCACATTTGTATTACTCTTCAAGTTTGTCAAGGCTGTTTCAAATCTTTTTGGAATGTTTGAAACCATGGTAATGGAAATATATTCATTTGTAACATCTATCGACTTAATCTTTTCCAGTTTGATTATACCTTTAGCAATAGTAAGTGGACTGAAAGTGTGCCGAGCAATAGAAAACTTCCTACCAAAACCAAGCAAAGTTTCTCATTTGTCTGTAGATCATAAGATGATAAATTTATGAACAAAGTTGGATCATTCAATTTAGTCCAGTAACTCTCGTCAAACAAAGCATTTAATTAAACATTTAACCTCCTTTTATGGACTTATCACTTTTGCTAAGTAATTGATATACAAAATCACAAACATATGCAGCCATTTTGAGAACTTAACCCCTGCAAATTTTAAGGGCGTGGTATATAATAATAATAATAATAATAATAATAATAATTAACGGTTTATTGAAAGAGCTTGGCAGCCAGAAGGCTGAAAATATAAGGTTACATATTTGGGGAATGGGTTTCGAATTATAAATAATATACAAGTAACATAAGTGATACAAATAAGATATATAATAACTAGATGGGGAAAAGCTCAAACTACAGTGCATTTCAACAGTGACAGTGCAAGAAGTAGTATTTACTGGGAGTGAATACACTGGTCTATTACAAGTTATTGATAATTTTTACAATGGTTGGGACTGGGCTGTTCTTATAGCGATCAGTTCGTGCACGTATGGGCTGGATGCGGTTGTGGTGTCGAACAGCAATTCTCGGGCTAGGGATCTCAGGTGGTAGTAGGAACCGGTGTCGAGGATGATGTAGAAGCTTCTTACCAAATTTGCAGATGAGGTCGTGGTGTATATATGATACAAGCCATCAAATGCAGGTATTTTTGGAGAGCTAGGCATGAATGGAGCCAAATCACAATCGAGAGTCACCTGACACAGGTTCCTTCCGAGTTATCCCCCATATTTGTGATATTTTTTGCACACAGACAATGTGGACTCAAAGATAAAAACTACTCAGAACTCAGCAGGTGGTAGTAATGATACTTTTGGACAAATTATGTTTTATGAATACATCCTACTTTACTTTACTGTATTTCATTTTTTATCTTTTAGAATGTACATAAGTTTGTTGCTGTAACTCACTGTTTTTGTAGACGGAGGAGCAGTACATCTTCATCCACGATGCCCTCTTGGAAGCTATTCAGAGTGGGGACACAAACATCCCACGGGCCGGGCTCAGTCGGTACATCCGCATGCTACAAGCTTCAGGAGGTTCACAGGAGAAACCACAGCCTTGGTATCTTCTATGTCATCAATTTAAGGTAGGTAAAATTTTATTCATGATATTTTATGTAAACAATAGTGTCAGGTTAAGTTAAGTAATTTGCTTAGAAAATATATGTAAGTGTAATGTCTACTCATATGGATGGTTAATATAGGTTCTCTAAATCACTTCAATTCCCATTTATTTACAGTAACTTTGTTCACAATAATGAGGCTGGTACTGTACTGTATCTATCTGTAAGTCTTATATTGATTGTCTGGTACTGTTGCCTGTGGCTTCTTGTCATACTTTGTTGATATAATTTTGAACCCTAACACTTCTCTCCCTAATTTACTCAGTCTTTTACACTGTGTACGTAACTCCTTCTACCTGTCTCTGTATGTACTATTGTAAAGAGCCGACTAATAGTGTCTGCACCACCTTTTATACTTGTTCAGCCACCTATAGTATTATGAGGCTTTTGTCTCCTTTGATCACTGAAGCTTTCTTACATGTTATATTTTTTATCCATCTCTTAAATACTGTACTTCATCAATATGGTTTACCATTCTCATTATCTCGTGTTCATAACAAAGCCTGACGTGATCTGCATATAGGCACATCAAAAAGGTGCAGCTGCTGGGGTGCACAGCTTGGAGACAGTGATAGTTGGAAGTGAGCAAACTATATTTACACTAGCAACTATTAACCCCTTGACCTGGATTGATGTGTTCCCTGATGAGGTCCTCCACATGACAGAATTTTATGATCTCTGAGGATGACGATGATGATGATAATAACAGTAAATGATAGTTTTGTATCAGGATGATTGTGACAAGGGAAGGAACTGTTTATAATCAGTAATATAGAACTACTTTTTTGTATCCAACATTTTTTTTTTTTTTTTTTTTATGGGAATGAACCTTGGATGACAAGGGTCTACTGTACTGTAATAGGAATATCTTAATGATTGTTTACTTTTGAGTGCAGTTTTGTTTGTTTGTGTATCTACAGCATTTATATATTTTTCAGCTGGTGACACATTTTCAACCACGTGACTTCAATGTGGTTAGTGCCGTTAAACCTGTTAATAGGGAGAAGAACCGCAGCACAGACCACTTACCAATGGAAAATGGCCGTGTGCATCTAACTCCCAAGCCTGGCGTAGATGGCTCGGATTACATCAACGCTACCTGGCTCATGGGTCACCAAAGACTACGAGAGTTTGTTCTCACCCAGCACCCACTTCCATCTACTATACTTGACTTCTGGCAGATGGTCTGGGATCATAATGCTCAGACAGTTGTGGTTCTTACATCTGTAGATGAGAGTCAAGGGTTCCCACAGTTTTGGCCAGCACAACATGATGACTTTGACTCAGAACATTGGAAGGTAGAAACTGAAATGTTGTTTTGTCATTTTCTGGTTATTTTGATGTTATCTTAAGTGGATGACCACACTTGTGTTATAAAGACAGAAAGTTTCAATACAGTACAGGTGTACCTCGATAACTGACACATATAGGGACCAGGATAAGTCATTTGCTAGGGAATCAACGGTTATTGAATCAATTAATCCCGTAAGAATATAACAAATTCAGGGGCTTAGGGACCAGTCACCCTCCAAAACTCCCATCTACCCTTGATATATCTTTGTCCTGCACACTGTCAAACAAGAAAATAAATTAGACCTATAAAGCAAGAATAATAAGCCTTAAATAACCAATGTAAAGCATAAATTGATACTATTATTTACCTGTGTTGAGGATGGTAAAGACAGTCTAGGGAGCAAGTCTCTACCAATCATTGTAGGTCCATCACTACTCTTATTATGCCCTATCGCATCATATCAAGCTGCCCAGCACAAGAGGAACTATCACCGGGACGGTTAGGCATGATTGAGTAACACATTAAATCGGAAATAAAAAAACAAAGTCGGAGCCAAGCCAAGAGACTGACCCACATCGACCTGACTCTCACCTGCCTCGACCCTTTGTATTACTTTTATTTTTGCATCCACATTAATGACTTTCCTGGGCACCTTTCCTTTGTTACCAAGACAGTCACTTGCAGGCTATTTCCCAGGCACGATGGGCGTAAAATAGTCACGAAACACACGTAGATTGTAAATAAATCAGAGCTACAGCTTCACAATCAAAATGAATTTAGAGACAATTGGTGATTGGCTTAGGGGATGTAAGCAATGATAGCGGTGGATTTTAATGCTGGTTCTTTTTCTCTATTTGATTTTTTTTTAAATAATAACAATAATACAGCTTACAGGTTACTATTCATATATAATAAATATATTCCAGTATTATGAATACCAGATTTATTACTTTGGTTTATTAGTTTATTGATGGTCACCAGTAGGAAGCTTACTAGGGTGGCGACGATATACCCGACTACCTGTGCAGGACAGTTCCATGCATTTGTAATGTGTAAGAATTTAATTAAAATATTTTGTACTAAATTTAGGAAATGTTAATAAATAATATAAACAAATGTTTGACATTAGGACCAGACAGCGATAGTTAACTGTGGGAGTGACGATGCAAAGGCAATGCCTCTGAAATGTCAGCTGATCTTTTGCACAGGAGGTTGAGATGTAAACTAGCCCTTTGCTAGACAGTGCAGCACAGCTCCAGGAGAGTGGAAAATACCAGTCTTTGCTGTAACACACAGCTTCATTTATGCCCATATCATGTAGATTTTTAGTTTTCAAATATATTTTTTTAACCAAACTTTAGATAAACTACTGTATTCTGGATTGTTATAGTAAAGAAATAGAGTTTCTAACTTAATTAGAGCTGCTTTTAGGGACTGTCATATTCAAAACGTCATTTTGTGAATGTCGGTTTTGCAACTCGGCGATCAACGGAACATCGGTTATTGGGGTTCGCTTGTGCTATGAGTGTATAGGATGAAAGTATCATTACTAAGTAAGTTTCAGCATGTATTTGCTCTAGAAGTAGAATTTTTTTAACGGGAATTAGTCCACCTGGGCACGGGTCAATGACTCGCATTGGCCTGGGGGGGCAAAAATATAATAATAATAATAAAATACCATAAAAAATACAATAAAAACATTTACTAGTTGATCAAAATAAATTGAATGTAAATTATTGTATCTTTTACATTTATTGTACATATCTTTCTCAGGTACGTTATCTAGAAGAGAAACTGAACTCGGGGCTTGTGACAGTGGATGTTGCAGTACAGAGCTTACAAGATGACTATGAACTGCCAGTCAGATTGATCCATGCACCTGGTTGGCCACAAACTCTTCCTGCCCTGGCCACTACACTTAGTCTTGTCTCCTTAGTCTCTGAGGCCCACACAAACTATCAAAATGGACCCTTAATAGTTGTTGATAGGTAAGGTACAATATTTTTCTTCAAACTTTTATATATGTTATTAAAACTACTGCAATATCAGTGTAAAAAACTGTTAGAGGTTTGAGCTTACTTAATACAGACATTGGAGTTCTGAAAACCGAAAATAAAAAAAATATATACAGTCAACCCTCGCTTTACGCGGTCCCACTTTCTGGCGTTTCCACGTTTACGCGGTACCCTGCCGAAACCGGAATGCTCACATTCCGCGGTGTGTGTACCCTTTACACGTGGAGGCGCTGAGCAAGGTAAGCAGTCATCAAAACATTACCGAGTTCTTCACCCACCACAGCCGGCCCAAGTCAGTGATAATGATAGTGAGGATATGGACTTATATGGACTTTGAGGGGTTTGACAAAGAGGCCCTGCAAGCCTCTGTGGTGGATAGTGATACAAGTGATACAGGTGAGGGCCAATAATCTGCCCTCTGCCTCGGAACCAACCCCCCATCCCGTGTGCCCAGCCATTTTTTCTACTAATGTAAGTGTTAAAAACCCTAATATTATTGATTGTGTGTGCATACCATCATAAAATTAAGAAAGTATTTTTACTACAACGTAGGTATTGTGTCTGAAAAAGTGGAGTTTGGGGGTCGGCCCGGTCTCTATTTCAATTAATCCTATATGCTATGTTATGTTTCTTTTTTGTTTCTCCTTAGCGCCGTGGGTTGAATTAACCGCGTAAAGTGAGGGTTCACTGTATATAAATAGGTGAAACAAACTGAATCAGACACTTATTGTATGTAAGCATGAAGGTAGATAATGTATGCTAAAAAAAAATAAATAAATATATATACAGTGACCCATCCGTTCTGAACTCAATCCGTTCAGAAAGATTGTTAACAAAGTTAAGTACTTGAAACCATTGTTTCAATGGGTTTTTGAGTAATTGGTTCAGCTCACGTATCCTAAATTCAACAAAATGGTAGAAAAGTTCACTTACTTTGGTGTGTATGTAGAAGGCTCCTGGATGATGATGATGATGATGGGATTTAGAATGGGGTGGAGGAGAAGGCATTGGGGTGGAAGGAAGTCACCCCATGGCGTATTCACCCATAAAATTTTAGCTCTCTTGGTGTAATTCAAGATTATTTTCTTTAAATCAACACTGCACTGCATTATATATTGTCAATATGTAAAATATATTTCAAAATGACCAATAATTTGTTGGAAACACAGAAAAAAAGCGTTTAGTTGAAGAGTCTCAAGCAAGATGTTACCTCCAGTGAAAACAGAGAGAGACTAACTCCTGTTTGTTGTTAAAGGCTGGATGCCAGGCATTAAACTAGTCACTTTACCTTCAATTATGTTCAATAATTGTTAAAATGGCTAAAAAATTGAATATTAAACTTTTAAAATTATTGAATAGTATAAACTTCTTATATTTACAAATAGTAAGGAATTTAAGCCCTAGAACCGATTAATGTATTGGCAGACTGATACTAAAGCTGGTTGCCCGGTCAGTGCAAGCTAACATGTTGAGTCGGTTAAGTAGAACCGTTAACAATTTTTTAGTTAACGAATTGAATCCTTGTGAAGGCAGTTCGTTAATAAAATTCGATTAGCAGTGTTCGTTAAGGTCACTGTTTATATATATATATATATATATATATATATATATATATATATATATATATATATATATATATATATATATATATATATATATATATATATATATATATATATATATATATATATATATATATATATATATATATATATATATATATTATATACAAGAAGAAAAACACGAAGTTCTCAAAGCGCTTTACGTGTAATTCCACATCTTCAGGGTAGTACTCACCCCAAGATGTGAACCCTACAGTGATTTACTTGCATATATATATATATATATATATATATATATATATATATATATATATATATATATATATATATATATATATATATATATATATATATATATATATATATATATATATATATATATATATATATATATATATATATATATATATATATATATATTATGAACCAGATTTATTACTGGTTTATTAGTTTATTGATGGTCACCAGTAGGAAGCTTACTAGGGTGGCGACGATATACTACGACTACCTGTGCAGGACAGTTCCATGCATTTGTAATGTGTAAATTTAATTAAAATATTTTGTACTAAATTTAGGAAATGTTAATAAATAATATAAACAAATGTTTGACATTAGGACCATACAGCGATAGTTAACATTGGGAGTAGCGATGCAAAGCAATGCCTCTGAAATGTCAGCTGATCTTTTGCACAGGAGGTTGAGATGTAAACTAGCCCTTTGCTAGACAGTGCAGCACAGCTCAGTGAAATACCAGTCTTTGCTGCACACAGCTTCATTTATGCCCATATCATGTAGATTTTAGTTTTTAAATATATTTTTTTAACCAAACTTTAAATAAACTACTGTATTCTGGATTGTTATAGTAAAGAAATAGAGTTTCTACTTAATT